CAGGAGTTATCTGTGGCCGTAATACTTAGATGGATGTATATGTTGGTATTTTTTATGCTTTCTGATTTCCTCCAGGTAGATGTGATCAGGAGATGGGCTTCTCTTTTCACTCTTCTTCTTCCTGAGAAATTTCATGATGCCACTGTTAGTCATTGTGACATAACTCAGGATTTAGTTTTTGGCCTATTTCTTTTTTAGTTTGCCTATCTTGTTCCACAATTCCCGTTCAGGCTTTTTTTCTAGTTATAAACAGTTCACAGCTGGCTGTGGCCATTTGGTTTTAAGTGGAAACTGTCTCTTTAAATTTCGAGGAGATCTGTGCGCATGCGTTCTAGAACCCTCTGGGGGTGGGGGTGGGGTGTCCACTCTATCAGGAACCCTGTAGTCACCAGGATGGAGGTAGGCAGACAGTGAGAAACAAATGAACATGTATATATATTAAAAAAGAAAATCCATACCTGTATTTCTGCGGTTCTGTCAGGCATTCGTGGCCGTTCTATCAGGCGTTCGTGGCTGTTCTGATTCTTCCCCTGCTTGGCCTCGCTCAAGATGGCATCTTTGGGAGCAGCTGAGCATCTTGAATTAGAAAGCAATGGATTTCTTGCTTCTGCTACAAATTCCCCTAGCTGTAAGCCTTCCAATCTTCTAAATATTCCTTTATATGTGGTTCAGAGTTCTGGCACCATCCCCTGAGCCTGCTTGGTTGGGTATTCTGTGTTGTTGGTGACAGAGCTCCTCATGTACTTCAGCCTGATCCGCCATCTTGTTTGTTCTCTGAATTGTAATTTTTTATTTTATCTCCTAATGCTATCCTTTGAAATTTCCTATTCAGCTCTTTTACCCCCTCAATTTTCCATTTTCTTTTAGCTTCTCTACATTGAAGAGCAAGTTTCAGAGTCTCTTCTGCCATCCATTTGGTCTTTTCCTTCTTTCTTGTCTTTTTAATGACCTTTTGCTTTCTTCCTATGTGATGCATTTGATGTCATTCCACAACTCTTCTGTTCTTCTATTATTAGTGTCTAATTCATCACATTGGTTCTTGAGATGATCTCTGGATTCAGTGTCATATTTTGGCTCTCATGAACTTATTTTAGTTTTTTCAGCTTCAGACTAAACTTGCATATTATTAGTTGGAGATCTGTTCCACAGTCTGTCCCTGACCTTGTTGTGACTAATGATATATGGAGCTTTTTCACCATCTCTTTCCACAGATGTTGTTGTTGTTGTTGTTGTTGTTGTTGTTAGTGCTGTCGAGTCAGTTCCGACCCACAGCGACCCTGTACAGGGTTTCCGAGGGTGTAAATCTTTACGGGAGTAGAAAGCCTCATCTTTCTCCCGCGGAGCAGCTGGTAGTTTTGAACTGCTGACCTTGCGGTTCACAGCCCGATTCGTAACCACTATGCTACCAGAGCTCCTTACTTCCACAGATGTAGTCAGTTTGATTTGTATATATTCCATCTGGTGAGGTCCATGTGTGTAATCATCTTTTATGTTGTTTACAAAAGGTATTTGCAGTGAATAAGTTGCAGTGGTCTTGCAACATTCTATCATGCCATCTGCAGCATTGTTTCTATCACCAGGCCCATATTTTCCAATGAGTGATCCTGCCTTTTGTTTACAACTGTAACTTTAGTTTACAACTGTAACCAATAATTTTCAGTATGCCTTGATTAGTTGTTTGATCAATTTCAGACCAAAGAAGTTGGTAGAATTGTTCAATTTCTTCGTCACTGGCTTTAGTTGTTGGTGTATAAATTTAAATAATAGTTGTATTAACTGGTCTTCCTGCTAGGAGTATGGATATTATCCTATCGCAGACAGCATTGTACTTCAAGGTAAATCTTGAAATGTTCTTTGTGATGATGAATGTGATGCCCTTCCTGTTCAATTTGTCATTCCCAGCATAGAGAACCATGTGGTTGTCAGATTCAAAGTTAACCAATACCAGTCCATTTTAGCTCACTAATACCTAGGAATATTAATGTTTACAGGTTCAATTTCATTTTTGACAACTTCTAATTTTCCTAGTTTCATACTTTGTACATTGCATGTTCTGATCATTAATGGATATTTATAGCTGTTTTTCCTCAGTCTGAACTTTTCCCCACTGGCAAATGAAGGTCCTGAAAGTTTTACTCCATTCACATAATCGCAATCTATTCTGAGGAGGCAGCTCTTTCCCAGTCACATTTTGTGTGCCTTCCAACTGATGGGCTCATTTTCCGGCACTATATCTGACAGTAATCTGGTGTTCTTTATCATGTTTCAATATTCAGTATTCTGGTACTATCTGACAGTGTTCACTGCTGTTCATAAGCTTTTTCGTGATGAAATAGTCCATCTCTCCTTCTTCCAAGTTTGTTTTTGTCTGGAAGCTCATCTGAAACCTGTCCACCATGGATGACCCTGCTGGTTTTTAAAATGCTGGTGGTATCACTTCCAGAATCACAACATCACAGTGGCAAACTGACAGATGAGTGGTGGAGGAAGCATTTAGATTGTGTCTAATACTTTGCAATTATGAAACCACTACCACGAACTTTTTTTTTTATGCTACAACTTACAGAATTTCAAACATTTTCTTAGGATGGGTTCTTAGATGGATTATAGTTCTATGTATGTGAGCATCTATAAGGCTTTGACCTAACTGGCTACTGGAATTTGTACTCCCATTACCATTGTATTGGAATGTGTATACCACTGAAACACACTTGGTCTCTTTTTTCTCCCACCATTATTACTAAAGAAATTGTTTATTCTAACGTCACTTAGATATGGATAAGATTCTGGCAACCAAGGTACTGATTTGTTTATCCTCTGATGCTGGCTCCACGTCTCAGAAATGGAGCCCTAGGGTTTGTTTTTTGTTTTTGTTTGTGGTTTTGTTTGTTTTAATGGTAGCCTGTACAATTAGATGTATTCAAGTTATGATGAATTGCACTTAAACTTGTCTTTATTTTTTTGTATACCTTGTCATTAGCTAAGGAGCCCTGGTGATGTTGTGGGTTACTCATTGGGCTGTTAACCATAGGGTTAGCGGTTCAAATCCACCATCTGCTCTGCTGGAGAGAGAGGAAGCTTTCTGTTCCTATAAAGATTTACATCCTTGGAAACACCCCATAGGGGGTCAGTACGGGTCTGAATCAATTCTAGGCAGTGGGTGGGTTTCATTAGGTATATGTACTACATTCACTGTTACAGTTCATCATTTGCTGGTGTTGTCATTCTCGGATGTTCAAAGATCAGATTTATAAAGATACTGGTAATAAACGTCAATAATGAAACTAAGAATAAACATACACATACATATTTATATATTAGACTTGAGGAGCTCTGGTTGTGTAGTGGTTGCCAGGTGGCCTGCTAACCACTAAGGTCGGCAGTTCAAAACTACCAGCCGTTCTGTGGGAGTAAGATGAGACTTTCTGCTCCTGTAAAGATATACCGCCTCAGGAACCCTATACAGGGTCTCTATGAGTTGGAACTGACTCCATGGCATACAACCACTACCATATAATGTAGACTACATGAGAAACAACTTAGGGGACAGAGTTGTCAGAATGAAACCCCATAGGAAGACGGGGACCATGTGTACTAAGTGATTTGAGAAAGGACCATGGTGGGCCTGGTCTGGCCCTTTGACTTCATTAGTGGCTGGGTACATCTTCTAACCTGTTGACCATTTGAAGGAGAGACTGTCTTGCTGCCCCTGTTTGAGGAATTGAACATCTAGGGCATCATTAAGGTCCAATCACGTCATCTTGGAATTTTTCTAATCACGTTTAATAAGCCAACTTCCTCCAATGTCAGATTATTGCAAATTCAGGTTCTTTGGTTTCCTCAGGTTCACTGCACCTCAGGCAGAGCTCTATGAAGCTGTTCTAGAGATCCAGCAAGCATGTCTGACCCTCTGTTCCCCCGGGTCGAGCTTGGAGAACCTCTACAGCATGATGCTGACACTGATCGGAAAGAAACTTACAGAGCTGGGGATCATGAAGAACAATAAGGAAAATGATGCCTTCAAGGTACTTCTCTTCTCTTGAACCATTTTCAAGAACACCTAGCCAGCCTGCTTGGGTTGTAGCCTTAATAAAGCTCAGAAGACTTTAGAAATAGTCTTTGTAACTCTTCATCTCAGAGTTGGGGTTCCAGAATTCACATAGGTGTGATGATTTATGTCAAATTTGTATGTAAGACCCAACAGTTAACGTGTTTGTCTTAGTATATTGTGTACCGTCTTATGTATAAAAAACATTGAAGAAACACTTCCAAATATACTAAAACAACTTTACCATAATAATACAATAGCAGTGTTTTATGCACATCAAAAAGTAGTGCCTGTTCATTAAAACAAACCTCAAGTTTTTAATACAGTCGGCTTTACTGGGGTTGCTTTATAACAGATGGGCTGTGTGTAAGTCAGGCGTTCGTAGCCTGGTGACAGCCTACAACTGCGCTCTAGTATCTTCAGTGACTGGGTTTTTAGAATTAGATCACCAAGCCTTTCTTCCAAGGTGGTTGGACTCAAATCTCCAACCTTTCAGTTAGCAGCTATGTGCCTTACACCTTTTGTACCACCCGTGGACTCCAAAGTAAAGCCTGCGTGGATTAAAACAAAGGGAATCAGTACTGCTTTCTCCCAGAAGATGGCAGCACATTCTGGTTCATGGCATGAAGCATACCCAGCCCGAAAGTCAGGAAATATAAAATGAAGTCTGATGCAGACAGGATAGAAAGACATACAAAAAAAGGGAGAGGTTAACTCCTAATCCTTTTGTGGTGATTCTGAAAAGGAAGAGGTTGGATGGGACCATATCTGTTGCTTCAGTGATGTTGAAACTTAGGACCACATTTTGAAGTAAATTTAATTTGCATCCAAAACATAAATGGTGCTCAGTGAAAAATGGAAATCCTCAGCTTTAAAGAATGATGCTGGGTGCGCATGCCACACAGACCAACCAGTAGGCACCACCCACCTCCAATTTTAGGCTTCCAGGGCCTCTCCTATCAATAGAAATAGAGCTATAAATCTTTAGTTAACTGATAGAAATACCTCCATTGGTAGATGCCTAATGGTTGCACTGTTACTTGATGTCTCTCCTAACTGCTCCACGAACTGCTGTGAGACAGTTCAGGTCTCCAGAGCTGGCTTCCTGAGAGAACTGTCTGAACACTCAGAAGACGGCTATTCTAACAGAGTTACAACCACCCCTCAAAATACAGAGAGATGCTCATTTGCCTGGTCCCTAAGGAATTGCCCAATTCCAAGAGTAGTTAGAATGCCCTTGGCAGAAATGCAGACAAGAGATGGCAGTTTATCAGGTGTCTCAAGCATTTACCCAAGAAGAGATTAAATAACTGCTGCACGACCACGGAGGAGCTATTAACATGTGCCTCCCTGGTTTATATGTGTTCAGCTTTCTCCTGAGTGGTCATTGCTCAAATAACAACAGGAATTAACTTTTCAGGCTGCTCGAAAATACTGCCCTCACCATGTTGGCCACTACCTTGGGATGGATGTCCACGATACTCCAGACATGCCTCGTTCCCTCCCTCTGCAGCCTGGCATGGTGATCACCGTGGAGCCAGGTAGGCAGATGTGCTGGCTGACTGCTGCTAACACAGGGTAATCATGTGAGCAATAAGAGTAGACGTGGTTTCTTTTTACCTTGTTTTCATCGCCATTTATCTAGGTTCCGTGCATAGCAACCTGATGCACAGCAAAAACTGCCCGGTCCAGCACCAACCTCACAGTCATTGCTACGTTTCAGCTCATTACTGCTGCCACTGTGCCTGCCAGTCCATCTCTTTGAGGGTCTTCCTGATTTTTGCTGACCCTCCACGTTACCATGCATGATGTCCTTCTCCAGGAACTGGTTCTTCCTAACAACACGTCTGAATATGAGCGATGAAGTCTCACCATCCTGGCTTCTAACGAACTTTCTGGTTGTACTTCTTCCAAAACAGATTTGTTTGTTCTTCTGGCAGTACTTCTAATATTCTTCTCCAACACCTTAACTCAGATGCGTCAATTCTTCTACAGTCTTCCTTATTCATTTATTGTCCAACTTTCACATGCATATGAGGCTATTGAAAATACCATGGCTTTAGTCCTCAAACTGGTATCTTTGCTCTGGAACATTTTAAAGAGGTCTTGTGCAACAGATTTGCCTAAAGCAATATGTTGTTTGATATCTTGATTTCTGCTTCCTTGATTGCGGATTGTGAATTCAAGCAAAATGAAGTCTTTGACAACTTCAGTCTTTTCTCCGTTTATCATGATGTTATTTATTAGTCTTGTTTTGAGAATCTTTGTTTTCTTTACATTGAGGTGCAGCCCATCCTGAAAGCTTTGATCTTCATCAGTAAATAATTGAAGTGTTCTTTAATTCCAGCTGGCTGGGTTGTATCATCTGTATATCACAAGTTGTGAATGAGTCTTTCTCCAATCTTTTTTTTTTTTAAGTTTTTACTATGAATTATGTGTTAGTTTACATGGGAGAACATTATCTTTACATTCATTCTATCATTTTTCATTTAATTGCAATGATTACAATCCTCTGCATGCATCATCAAACAACCAAAGGGTACACCCCACATGTCTGCCGCACACAGCCCCTCTCCCTCCCTGAGTCCAGAGTCCCCAGCCGCTCCTTCTGTCCATATCATTCTTTCTCCAATCTTGATGCCCTGCTCTTCTTATCATCCAGTTTCTAGGATTATTTGGTTAGCATACAGATTGAATAATGTGGTTAAAGGATGCAACCCTGGTACACATCTTTCCTGATGTGAAGCCATTCAGTATCCCCTTGATCTGGTCTAGCAGCTGCCTCTTGATCTCTCTGTAGGCTCCTCATGAGCACACTGAAGTGTTCAGGAATATTCCCATTCTTCCCAGTCTTATCCACAGAGCCAAAAGCCGGCTTGAATTTCTGGCGGTTCCTTGTCTGCGTACTGTTGTTGCTCACAGAATTCTTAATATTTCAAATTGAGACTTGAATTTTTACTTCAGTTCTCTGAGTTTGAGAAATGCTGAGCATGTACATCCCTTTGGTTTTCTAACTCCAGTTCTTTGTACATCTCATTATAATAAACTTGATTTTGTCTTCTCAAACTGCCCTTTGAAATTTTCTGCTCAGCTGTTTTGCTTCCTCATTTCTTCCATTTGCTTCCATTGCTCAAGAGTAAGTTTCAGAGTCTTCTGACATCCACTTTTGTCTTTTCTTTCTTTTTATTGACCTCTTGCTTTCTTTCTGTATGATGCTCTTGATGCCACCCCACAACTTTTCTGGTATTCGGTCATTAGTGTCTAATGCATCAAATCTCTTCTTGAGATGATCTCTAAATTCAGTTCGGATGTATTCAAGGTCATATTTTGGTTCTTGTGGACTTGTTTTCATTTTCTTCAGCTTTAGCCTGAACCTGCATATGAGCCATTGATGGTCTGTTCTGCCCCTGGCCTTGCTTTGGGGTGATGATAAGAGGCTTTTTCACTGTTTCTTACCTGAACCAGCATGATTAAACTAGAACATAAAAATACATCTCTTCAGTGTAGTAGGGAACTTTATTTATTTTAGAATTGTCTTAACTTTCTCATTTAGCATCTCACAATTTGTTTAATTTGACTTCTTCTATCAACAACAGATGGAGAATACTTTCTATAAGTAGATATTAAGACTTAAATCTATTTTTAAGACTGCCTTTTTCGGGTCCAGTTTGTTTACGTGTCTCCCATTTAACAGTGGCCAAGTGCTTTTATCTTTAGATGATATGGATTATATCTGGGGAACGTGTTTCCTTTTACTCTCTGAGCCCTTACATGTTTCTCTTTGTGGTCCCAGTATGTAGTCCAGTCTAGCTGGTACTTGGGTGTTTCTAGACTTTTTCTAATCTTCTCTGCTGCTCTTTTTATCACAGAGCAGTATCTTCCGTATAGAGGAGCAAACTTTTCATTTGTTTCATATGAGAGCCTGTCTGACTTCATGTTTAGAAAGAAAGAGTACCTTGGACTCTGGTTTATCCAAGCATTCATTAAAGTTGTTCCTATTTCTCTCATACTCTGCATCATGTGTGTACATTTACAGCTTATTTGAGAAAAACATTCCTCAGCTTCTTAGTTAGGCTAATAATCTCTAATAAAGTATTTAATATCTTTTAAAACACCTTCTGTCTTTATTTGAGCAAAATGTCCTTTTTCCTGTTGGACAGAAGAAAGATGTATTGATACAGCCTGCTAAATACCAGAATATAACATATGTATTACATGCTCACAAACGAAATTACTTTGATGACCTGCTTGAGCCACTAAATATGACAGAATGAGGATCGACCTTATCCTAGTTGTGTGGAACCTGTGACTGGTATCTACTCATACTGATAGTGGTAGTCAGTATTTACTGACCATTACCTACCAGGCACTTTCTTTTTTTTTTTCCCACTCTATGTCATTGTATCCTCATGACTCTTAATAGGTAGATCTCACTAACAAGCCGGTCTTCTGCTGAAAGAATTGGGATACAGAAGGTGAACTTGTTGCTGCTGTTGTTGTTGTTAAGTGCCATTGAGTCAGTTCCAACCCATAGCAACCCTGTATGGGGTTTATAAGGAGATGCAGGTGGGTTTGAACTCCCAACCTCGTGGTTCAAACTGACCTTACGGTCCAGCACGTTATCCTGCAGCAGCACACCAGGACTTTTGCCCCAAACTACCCAACTACTGGCTTTGATTCTTTTCTCTGCTTCCAGGCATTTATGTCCCAGAGGATGACAGAGATGCTCCTGAGAAATTTCGTGGTCTTGGGGTACGAATTGAGGACGATGTGGTGGTGACTCAAGACTCACCCCTCATCCTTTCTGCAGACTGTCCCAAAGAGATGAGTGACATTGAGCTGATCTGCAAGAGGCCCTGCTGACCTGCATCGCAGCCCTCCCACATCTCAGGTTCCTGAAGCGGCATGCCCGGGCACGGGTGTCACTGTCTGTGCACTTGTACATGGCTACCATTTGGGGGTGCAGCTGCTCTCAGAGTACATGTGATTGTGTCAGGGGTGGGGCTGTTTCTGTTGTGCTTTAAGTAGACGGAAATCTGGGAAATTGAATTTTTCAACAATATGCTACTACAGCTATAGTAATGTTAATTCTGGAGGATTTAGACCTGGGCAAGTTTAAAACTTCAATGTAAAGAAATTCTGAATCACACATGTCATTGCTTACATTTAAACATACAGAAGAAGTCTCCTCTCCTGGTCCCTCCCTTTGTATAGTTTTGCTGAGATCCACCTGCTGTTGTAAGATCTTGGTGTGATGCTTACGTCTATACAGGATCTCTGATGGTGGGCGGCCAGTACACGCCTCCTGTTCACCGCTCTGCCTAGTCCAGATCCTACAAGTTGGCTGGAGCCAAGGCAGCCCTCAGGTGCGCTGGTGTCCTGCACCATAGTCTGTGTTCCAGCAGTGCTAGCCATCTGATTGTCTGGAGTCTGGAAAGTAAAATTTTAGATTCTGTTAAGGAAGGAAGGGAAGAGAGAGGAAAGTCTTGCGTCCACTGCAGACCACGACTTCCGTCTAATGTGTTCTCCTCAGTGTAAAGATGCCTCCTTCTCCAGACATCTGCTCTTCCTCTGTAGGTTCTTCATATCCTGCTCCTCCTGTATCACCCAAGGTGCTGCCAATCCCAAGGAAGAACCTCCTTTTGCCCTAGTACAGTCAGATGGCCATTCTGTGCTTTCTCTAGTGCTGATAAGAAAGAACAAAATACGGAGGCCTCCAAGTACCTGTAAACACCTTATGAACCTCACATTCTAAGGTATTAGCACTGGCAGGGCAAGGGGCCCTAGTTCTGTAAACCCAGCACTGGAAGCAGTTTCTACCGTTTGCAGGGTGAGCAGAACTGGATGACTGTAGCTGACCTATTGAGGTGGAGGCTTTAAGAACCAGTGTGTTCTCCCTTTAAACCTGGACATGAGCCTAGGATTCACAAAACCTGCTGAATAACAGCATAGTTGTTTTGTTTTTTTAACATTTGTGTTAGGGAAGCACAAACAAGGGGATTAACACTCTCTGCAGTACTAGAAATTTGTCTGTGGTGTCGAGAAAACTCAAGGTACAGAGCCAAAGGTAGGCAGGTAGTATCTTAAAGTGACACTGGGCTGAATCCTGACAGTATTCTTCCAGCTGCAGGAATGGATGGCTGCACAGCTGGAGTGTCCACTGCCCTGCCTTCCCTCTCCTCCTCCCGCCAACTCCTCAGTCCTCACCACCTTCTAAAATAATCGGCATGAAAATAAGGGTACAGTGTCAGCTTCTCATACTTGTCCTCTCCCTCCCTGGCTCTCTGTGGCCCCCTACAACCTTCTCCTTGGGTTGGCTGCCTTTTGTTCATTTCCAATCCTGGAATAAGGAACATCTTTTTCTTTCTGTAAATCATTTTCTATCATCTTCAACTTTCTCATTGAAAACCTAAGTAGCTTTTTATGTTTAGCAGCATGCTTGTTTGCGAAACTGATTTCTTCTGGTTAGAGAAAGGATTCCTGCCAGCTTCTGCAGATGTTAACAGTATTAGTTAGAATGACCTTTGTGGAACTCTTCTTCAGTCCCTGACCCAGGGATAGTGTCCTTTTTGTCCCAGAGTACCAGTCAGCACTGGAATCAGACCATCAGAACCATCAAGAGATAACATACCTCCCATAGCCATGTTCTGGGGACTGTTGAATACATGAAGTATTGCCAGACTAGTTATTACCCACAGAGCAAGGACTTCATTCATTCTTAAACACACCACAGACATGCCCCACATTTCCTCCAGTATAATCAGTATACCATATGTACGAGGGAACTTCAAAAAATTCATGAAAAATGAAATTAAAAGATAAGGAGTTTCTTCACAAACTTTTTAAAATCCCCTTTCTGCTCCTCAGAAACCCTATACAGGGTTGCTATGAGTCAGAACCAACTCAACAGCTCTTAACAACAATGACTATAACTAGCTCTCTTAATGAAAACATTGATTTAAAAGAAAAATTTCAAATGTTACCTCTAGAGTTTTCAGTCTCAGAATTAAAACTGAAGAGATACTGTTGGGTTAGTAATGATCCCATTAAAAGAAAGGAAGCATATTAGGGTCGTCTGGGCTATATGGCTTCGGGTATTTTTGTGAGGCATTGTTATTTCCCCACCATCAGAAACTGGGGTGTGGCTTTTATTTGCAACACAACCATAGAAATACGGAATAAGAGCTCTACTCCTCCCACCAACAGTGGCCAAGCTCGGAAAGTGCTTCTGATTGGGATGCAGAGGCCTCTGTGTGTGTCTTCTTTCAAAAATTACAAGGTCAGAAAGGAAACACCCTCACTGTAGACATTCTTTTTGAATTGAGATTCAGATCCATGACACAAGTTAAATCCCCAGATAAAGACATGGGGAAACTCATTACAATAGAGAAACTGAGCCTTGCTAATGTTTTTCAAAAGGTGCATAAGCAAAGCCCTCCAGCTTTTTAAACAATACAAAGGTCAACACAGAGGAAGCCTGAGTGCTGCCTCATCCCTCCCATGCCCAGGTCAGAGGTCAGGGACAGAGCTCAGTCCAGCTTGGGCCTCAGAGCCTCTTTTCACAGTGTTACAGACAGTGGGGAATGCAGTGCAACCCTGTTTCTGCCAGTCCTCAGCTATCACACGATGGCATGGGACCTATTTGTGTTAGAAGCCAATGAGGGTCTGTAGATGGTGGTAGCAGAGAGGCCCCTACTTGGATGGGTCTTTTAGGTTTTTTTTTTATTATTTTTAAACTTTTTATTTTACTGCGGTGAGATTTCAAACCTGAAACTTAAACTAAGAAAAGGGAAAATATACCTGAAGCTAAAATGCATAGTGTCCCTAGAATAATGAGAAGGTAGGTATGCCCTTAACACTAGCATCAAAGCAAAATTCCATTCCCTCCAACACCTAGCTGGGTTATCCTGATTACTCTTATTATGAACTTGTCGAAAATCAAGGTGTTTGGGGATGTGCTTTATAAGGCTCTTAGAAAACTGCGCCCTTTTTTAGCTTTTGCGAACGCATTGTATAGCTTTTGTGCAATTTGAACAAAAATGCTGTTACTTTTTAAGATTCTATCCAATGAGAATACATATGTCAGTCCCCAACAAGGGGAAAGCATTTGTTACTGTCATTAAAAAAATAATAAATTATAAAACAATATAGAAGCATATGGCTTGTGTGTGTTATTTTAGAAGTGAGAGTTAACATGTTTGAATGTGAGAACATTTTCTTTTATAAAACATTTTATTTTAAAGCATTAATTGCTATCACAGAATTATAGCAAACTTGAAGTGACCTTCTCAGTCTTAGAGGGAACAAGAACAATGGATTCTTTCAAAACTGACCCATAGGTGCCGGTTAACCCTTACAGCACTCAAGACTAAACTAGAGCCATAGGGATTTTTAAAAGGCTGAGTTTTGTGGGGAAGAATTAATTTGCAAAAGTGTGTAAATGTGTGAGCTTCCTCAGTAAGTCACATAAAGCCATCATTCACTAAAAGAATCCTCTGTAGAGTCCAAGGATCTCTTGAAGGCATGCTTCCCATTTTTCACATCTTGCCACACACCACCAAGTACTTTTGTGTGTGGCAAAATGGGAGTAAACTTGAGGGCACTTAGAGGTATAGATGTGGAACTTAGAGCACAGATCTATTATGTTGTTGTTGTTAGGTGCAGTGGAGTTGGTTCCTACTCATAGCAACTCTGTACAGGGTTTCCGAGGCTGTAAATCTTTATGAGAGCAGAAAGCCTCATCTTTCTCCCGTGGAGCAGCTGGTAATTTCAAACTGCTGACCCTGATTCGTAACCACTACGTTACCAGAGCTCCTTACAAGTCTATTAATATCCTTTACATAATTATAAAAAATAAATATTTTACAGAAAAATTTTAGTGACATCTAAAATAATGTCAGTTTGTCATACTGTGGTGGCTTCTGTGTTACTGTGATTCTGGAAGCTTTGCCACGGGTATTTTAAATACCATCAGGGTCACCTACAGTGTAAAGGTTTCAGCTGAGCTTCCGAATGAAGACAGACTAGAAAGGAGAGACAGACTCCTTCCAAATATTTAGTCACCAAAAACTTAGTATTAGCAGTGTAAAACTGCTAGTACCAGAATATTGAAACATGATGAAAAACACCAGAATATTGTCAGATATGGTGCTGGACAATGTGACCCTCAGACTGGAAGGCACTCAAAATGCGACTGGGGAAGAGCTGCCTCCTCAAAGTAGAATTGAAGTAAAGCCAATGATCCTGAAGGAAGAAGTCCAAGGTGCACAACTCAAAATGAAGAGAAACAGCTGTAAATATCCCTTAATAATTAGAACATGGAATGTACAAAGTATGAATCGAGAAAAACTGGAAATTGTCAAAAATGAAATGGAACACATAAACATTGATATCCTAGGCATTGGTGAGCTGAAATGGAATGGTATTGGCTATTTTGAATCTTGACAATCAATATGGTTTACTATGCTGGGAATGACAAACTGAAGACAAATGGCATCACATTCATCATCAAAAAGAATATATCAAGATTGTCCTGAAGTACAACACTGATAGACCTGCTAATACCACTGTTAATTCAGATTTATCTACCAATCACTAAAGCCAGTGATGATGAAATTGAAGAATTCTACCAACTTCAGTCTGAAATTGATCAAACATGCAATCAAGCTGCAATGATAATTGCTGGCAATTGGAATGTAAAAGTTGGAAATGAAGGATCAGTAGTTGGAAAATATGACCTTGTGATAGAAACGATGCTGGAGATTGCATGATAGAATTTTGCAAGACCAATGACTTCTTCATTGCAAATACCTTTTTTAAACAACATAAAAAACAACTATACAACTCCCCTCTAAGACTAAAACTCAAAGGGAACACATGAGTCGGTATGTAAGCT